ATCATTATTTGGGCGGTCAGAAGGCCCTTTAAATACCTGTGGAACGTCTCAGGGGTTGCTGAGGGGAGCTTAGTAGAACTTGGGGGCGCTTTTGGGCCTATTTTGGCCCACATGGTGATGTAACCAGGGCTAGAACCTTGGGGATAATATTCCAGAAGCTCCAAGGGGTCATGCACAAAATTATTACAGCCAAGAATGTCCCATGGGAACCTGTTGATAGGGGCTACTCTGTTACGTGGAGCAGGTTCCTTGGAAAGGGGCCACAGAATATTCCAGAGATGTCTTCTGAGGCTTGCTACACGTGTTACCCATAGGAATATGGTTACTGTAGTATTTTCATGGATATTCTAGCTTGTTTAAATTCTTATTACACGTGTGGGGGCTTTGTTGTCACGTGCAATAGGGATTCTGGGGCTTTTGTGGCCCAATCCTTGGATACTGGTGTGCAGCATGACTACGTGGTGCGTGGGCTTGGAGACAGAACTCCACACTGCTCTATCTTCTAAATCATGCAAAATACTCCAATTCTGAGACTGGATTTGGAGTATATGCATTATGCATTATGCAGAAGTGTCACAGTACCCGTGATCTGGGGGTACCTGTTAATTATTCATGCATGTATTACAGGGTGAAGGAGTTAGAATTTGGGGTACCTTTGGCTGAGGTACCCTAGGTTAAATTGTATGCTGATTCAGAATCTGCAATAATAGTTAAGGTTTTGTTATAATTTTCAAGTTATTCATTTATTTTTATGTATTTTTTATCTTATTTACATAAGTAATATTGTTTCTTTTACTTATGTAATACTTTTAATTTATACTTAGATTTTTTATGTAATTTATTATTTTTATTTGCTATGACAGGTTGTCTCTGCCATAGTAGCAAGCTGACAGATTTGCAAGGCTTTGGCTCTGTTCTCACGGATCCTCAAATTGTTGATCTTCTTCCAGAGTGAGTGGTATATCTGACATAAATTTCCTATAATCCTCAAACACTGACATGATATATCTTACAGATGTTGGACCAATGGAAACTGTGTGGAGCTCAGAATTGCAGCATTTATATCAGATCATGTTTGTACCTCAGTCTGTGATGCCCTTCAGCTTGGAAAAGATGGCAAGGTTATTAATGTGGACTGGGAAAGACTAAAAACCAGATAAAAAACCTTTCTTCTTATCAATATTTGGAAAAACCAGTCCCTTTGCTCATTGTACATAAATTGTCTATATTTTCTGTTGATATTGTATATAAATTCTTGAAACTATTTCCATTCTATCTGAATATTGCTGCCCAAATCCAAGACTCCAACTACTGATAAGCTCAAAATCAAACCATAACCATTAGCGGGGTTCATGATAGGATTTTTTCAGGAAGAAAATCAAGCTACTCATTATTTGGGAGTGCTCAAACCTTGGATTAATTTTTAGACAAAATTAAGCTTAATATTTAACCAATCAAGGAAAGGTTTTGTGAATTTTAAGCCTTAATCTGCACTCAGGAACCCTTAAAGCCTCCTGAGCTCAGGAAGCCTCAGAGGTTCCTGAGTTGGGATTCTGAGCTTAAATCAAGGCTTAAATTAAGCTCAGGATTTCATAATCCAGGAAAAATTTAAGCTGGGTTCGGGAAGCAAAAAGCTTATTGTGAACCCCACTGTAAGACTCAAAAGTGGTTGTGAAACCCTTTTGCTGAATGGAGAAGAGGATGGTGTAGTTGCAAGCTCTGCCCTTCTATGCTATCAGAACAACAAGACCACCAAGCTTAGCTTGGCAGTTATATTTATCGTGATAGAGGATAGTTCAAGATGAAGCTTCCAAGTGATGTGTATAAGGGTCTGAAGTTGTTAATGAGTGATGATTATATTGATGGAGTTGTTGTTCACAGCTTTAATACCAAGGCTTGGAGCTCTGGGAGCACTATGCTTCAACCAGTAATGGTAAGTGAGGCAGGTTATGGGCACTTGGCACCTGTTATGATGATGAAACTGTTATGGTTGTATTTCAATATAATGTATTGTTATGGCTGTCACTTGTATATAATCTGTAAGGGTGGTTGGGATGATCTGGTCCACTGGTGGGATGATGGAGGGAACAACTGGCAGGCAGAGGCCTCCTTATACAGACAAATGTGAGGGATTTTAGCCCCAGGGTACAGGCTTTTGAGGCATTTTAGCTGGCATGAAGATCCAATGAGGGAATTTAGCTGGTCTAATACATGCAGTTAAGGGAATTTGGCTGGTGAGAGCACTGCCTTGAGGGAATTTAGCTAGCCTACAAGGTCCTACTACAAAGGAATGCATGTGCACCTACAAAGGAATTCAATATGCACTATGTGCCAATAAAAGAATTCAATACCACACAAAGGAATTCAATATTCAATATGCATCCATTATGCAAAACGAGCCATACTGAAAGTAAAGGATCCAAAAGACATCCCGTGACAGGTTGAAATCTGTGTAACTTCACTATGAGAGATATGGGGTCAGTTGTAGTGAGTGACTAGGGTTAATTTTATATGAGAAATCCATTTCTGATGTCATTTTTACCATATATATAATATATAAAGAGACAATAGTAAATTTTCATATTTTCTGCATAGAAACACAGTATTATTTACCACACCGCTATTGATGGATACAGCTAAACAGTTGATTTCTTATGCTTTAAAAGAAGCTTCTTCAATTGGATGAAAAAAAACAGTTGAAAAATAAAAAAAAGCAAATGAGGACTAATTTATAAATTTTTCTCATCTTTTTTGTATCTCTGTGTGTTTGGTTTTCTGAATTTTTTTCATTTTGAACTTGTCATTGACGTACAGTATCCTCCCAGATGTTTATGTCTGGGGATGACCTGTCACAAGTTGACTTGCACCCGTGCATTAAACTGCAGTGTGCAGGTGCAAGTCAACCTCTTCATTGGCCAACAACCCATCACAGAACAACCTTGCTCATTGACGATTGGTCTCGGAACCACTTTGATTGACCTTGGAACAAACTCGGTTGACCTTGGCCTCAGGACAAATATTTCTATCATTTTTTTTTGTTTTTCTGAGTTTTTGTTTTGTTTCTTCATTAGGAACAATTTGATGGGAGGTATCCTGTAAACCCCTCCTCTGGCTGGGTTCACAAAGCCTTCACTCACATGTCACACCCCCTCCTTAGTCTTCATTTTCCTTTTCACATTCCTGGCTCTGCAGAGAATTGTCCTCCCATCTCTCTGAGCCAGGTAAGCTCTATTTCCCTTTTCTTCTTGTTCTCTTTCTTCCTCTAGATTGTACTGAGAGAATTGTCCTCCCATCTCTCTGAGCCAGCCTTGCAATCCAAAGCCCCCCCCCAGTTTAGTCCTAGAACATCCTTCTTTGTGCCCGCGCCTCCGCTCATCCACCTTCAGCTCCAGTGAAGGGACTCAACCCTTACACTTTTTTTTTCTCGCACCAAACCACCCACCCTGAATCCTCTTAACCAACGAACCTGACTTGATTGACTGAATCGACTGAAAAATTAACCAACGAATTAACTCGACTTGACTGACTGAATCGACTGGATTGACTTGAATGAACTCACTTGACTGAAACCCAACTGAACCTACTGCCTTGACGACTTGACTGCCCTCCCGATCGCGATCCCCTTTACTCATCCTCCTCTCGACCACCTCCTCTTCTGAATAATTGTGCAACTGGTTGATTCATGCCCACAAGGAACAACACCAATCCCAACGAACTTCTTCCGTTAACTGATCCTGAGGCCATCATCCGAGCCGCGAACGCGGAAAAACGTCGCCCCAAACAACTCCAGTCTACTTCAACTGCCCTTCTTCCAACCGATCCCACCCCAATGTCTGACAAAACAGCCCCGACTCATGAAACGCCGGGGTCTACTCGCACGGCGGACGCCTCGGACATGCAGACAGCAAAGGACTGGTTCAAGTCCGTTTTCAAGATCCAGCACGCGGCCATCGTGGAGGCACAGGCCAACCGTCGACAAGCTGCTGAGGATCGCCGACAAGCCCTAGAAGATCGTCGCACGGACCGACGACTCCTTATGTCCGCTCACCAGGCCAACGCCGCCCGCATCAGCCGCCTAGAGGACCTACTTTTAGCGATGAATATCAAAAACGAAACGGATGTCCGTCCAGTACAGCCCGCTCCGGGCCGGGTCAACCTGCAGAAGTTCCGTACGTCGGATGGTCCGATCTACAGGGGACCGTTCCAGGAAACCGAGCCGTTCCTTCGATGGATCCATGGCGTACAGATTTTTTTCAACACCAAGGACGTCAACAATGCAGCCGACAAGATTAGGATCGTCGGCAACCTGATTGCGGAGACGAATCTTCAGTCCTTCTATGCAAACGAGGCAACTGGTTTTCTCGCCAAGTCTTGGGAAGAATTCAAGACTCGTTTGTTCGACTTCGCTCTCCCCAGTAACTGGCGGTCGAATTTGCAACGGCAAGTCCGGAAACTCGAAATGTCTTCGACTGAAACCTTCCTCGAGTACAGTACAAGGGCACGCACTTTGCAAAGCCTTTTCAACTTTGATGCCGCGGAGACTGCAAAACTCGGGGACCTTCAATTGGCCCAGTTCTTAGTATACGGGTTGACGGATGCCTTACAGGATTGAATCAATGAACACCAATGTAAAACCCCCTCCTCTGTTGGGTTTCACAAGAAGTATCACAGACAAGGATTCCTGTAGTTACATTCTCATTGGCTTGTGATCCGTACCTGGCTCCACAGAGAACTGATCCCATATCTCTCTGAGCCAGGTAAGTCTTTCTTTCTCACTTTTCTTTCATCATCTTTATTCTGATCTAAGTTGTATGTACAGAGAGAACTGATCCCATATCTCTCTGAGCCAGTGAAATAAAAGCTCCCCCTTTGTTTGGTCTTAGAAACTTCTGACTACGTGCCCTGTCTCTACGAGCTTTTCCATCAAGAATAGTGAAGGGAATCTCAACCCTTACACTTTTTTTTTTCTCACACCAAACATCACCGACAGCTCTCCTACCACGACTGTTTTCGAAACGACTGCCCGACTTACTTTACCGAATTACTGTACTGCTCCGCTTGAATTCGACTGTCCCTTTCCGTTCCGCCTTTCCGACTTACTGTTCCGACTGATCTTACTGTTCCGATTGCTCTCACTTTTCCAATCAATCGTGGCGTTCCGATTGGTATACCGAATCGCTGCTTGTTTATTCCGCGACTTCGCTACACACGGTTCCATTCTTCCCAATTCCTTACAACTTCAAACTTTTCCTTTGCGCTCGGTGGAGTACATGATAACGAGGAATAACGCCACCGCCGATAACTTACTTCCCCTATCAGACCCTGAAGCCATCCTCAAAGCCGGGAACGCCGAAAAACGGCGCATCAAACAAACTTCCAACAGACTGATCGCCCCTCTTCCCCCTGTATCGACTACATCGATCGAGACCATGTCGGACGCAGTTCCTCCACCCGGCGGCCATGAACAACCGGCCGCCGATTCCACCCGTGATTCCACCCGCACCGCCGACGGATCCGACATGAGCACGGCCAAAGAGTGGTTCAAGGCCGTGCTCAAGATCCAACATGCAGCTATCTCCCAGGCTCAGGAAGACCGCCGCCAGGCCTTAGAAGACCGTCGAGCAGATCGGCAAATTTTTCTTGCCGCTCATCAAGCCAGCGCGGATCGCATTGGCCGATTGGAGGACCTCCTTCTTGCGATGAATATCAAGAACAAGGTCAGCGCACGAACTGAACACCCAGCGGCTGGTCGAGTTGACTTGCAGAAATTCCGTACCTCCGACGGCCCAACTTACCGCGGACCGTTTCAAGAAACAGAACCTTTCTTGCGCTGGATCCACGGTGTCCAGATTTTTTTTGAAACAAAGAGTGTCAGCAATGCGACTGACAAGATCAAGATCCTCGGAAACCTAGTGGCGGAGACTAACCTGCAATCTTTCTATGCGAACGAAGCGTCGGGCTTCCTCAACAAATCCTGGGAAGAGTTCAAAACACGAATGTTCGATTTCGCCCTCCCTAATAATTGGCGCTCCGGACTCCAACGCCAAATCCGGAAATTAGATATGTCGTCGGCCGAAACATTCCTGGAATACAGCACACGGGCTCGAACCTTACAAAGTTTATTCAATTTTGACGCCGAGAAGTTCTCCAAGCTCGGAGACCTCCAGCTGGCGCAATTCGTTGTGTATGGTCTGCCCGATGCTCTGCAAGATAGGATCAACGAGCGCCAGCTCCTGGAGGCAGCCCCGTTTGCGTACGGACAATTCGAGAAACAGGCAAACGCGTCATTCCTTGCGTTGCATCGCCCCACGGAATCACCACCGGTGGTTAGGTCGACCCCCAATGCGCCTCCAACGCTAGGCCGGGACGAGTTCATATGGCAAGTCCATGCGTACTTGGACTCGCAAGGACGCTGCCATTTCTGCAAGAAGCACTGCGGCAACGCTGCAGGAGCCTGCCCTGGCCCAATCGACCGCTCACATATCAACATCCCCAGTAACTTTCAAACTCCAACCAAACCACTTGACTACGTGGCCCCCCGCGCATGGAGTAAACCAGCCGCCGGCCCCGGACAATCATTGCAACCTCCGGCCGGCCGACCCCCAGCTCGTGCAGCCAGTGTGGCAGGTGTTGCGGAAGTATCACCGCTTGAAGCTCATGTCGCCGGGCTGACTGTTGATGCGGCGATTAGAGAAGACGCACGCCTTGACCACGAATTCGATGATGAAGGCTGTTTCCCAGTCCTAGGTACTGCTGCCGTGGCTGCACTTGAAGACCTCGATACACAACTTTTACAAAATGAAATTGACCGGGCTACCCAAGCTTCTAGCGGTTGGACGGGTAACTTAGCGGATGACATTGCGGGATATTGATTGAGCCATGGAATTAAAGATTGCCTTGATCCTTGCCTCCTTTGTTCTTTTTTCTTCTTCTTTTCCTCTCTTCTCTTATTTCCTTTCTTTCTTCAATTTTTATATAGGAGGGGAGACTGTAAAACCCCCTCCTCTGTTGGGTTTCACAAGAAGTATCACAGACAAGGATTCCTGTAGTTACATTCTCATTGGCTTGTGATCCGTACCTGGCTCCACAGAGAACTGATCCCATATCTCTCTGAGCCAGGTAAGTCTTTCTTTCTCACTTTTCTTTCATCATCTTTATTCTGATCTAAGTTGTATGTACAGAGAGAACTGATCCCATATCTCTCTGAGCCAGTGAAATAAAAGCTCCCCCTTTGTTTGGTCTTAGAAACTTCTGACTACGTGCCCTGTCTCTACGAGCTTTTCCATCAAGAATAGTGAAGGGAATCTCAACCCTTACAACCAACTTCTCGAGACGACCCCATTCACCTACGGTCCATTCAAGAAGCAAGCTAATGCGTCTTTCCTCGCACTGCAACGCCCCGCCGAAACACACGCCTTGCTCCGCCCAACGTCGAGTGCGTCACCGAATCTATCCCGTGACGAATTCATCTGGCGGGTACATTCCTTCCTCGACTCAAGGGGCCTTTGTCACTTCTGCAAGAAACACTGCGGCAGTATGAACGGTGCTTGCCCGGGACCTCTAAATAGGGCCCATGTCGACATCCCCGCTAACTATCAAGCCCCCGCGAAACCGGTTGACTACTCATCCCCGCGCGCTTGGAGTAGTCCATCCGGCCCATTGTCCACCCCAGGAAAACCCACTCAACCTCCCGCGGGGAGACCTTCAACCCGTGCCGCAAGCGTCGCAGGCGTTGCAGACGTCACACCCCTAGAAGCCCAAGTCTCTGCGCTACAACTAGACGCGGCAATACGGGAGGACAGCCGTTGGGATACATACTTCGACGACGAAGGTTGCTACCCTAGTATGGAATCGGCCGCGGTGGCGGCACTCGAAGATCTTGACAGACAACTCCTAGCGAACGAGATTGAGCAGGCCAAACAGGCCAACCTAGCGGATGCTATCGCCGGTCACCCGGGACGCGCCTGATTGGAGTTCTGGATGTTATCTCTCCTTTTTTTTTCATCCCTACTTCCTTTTTCTTCCTTTTTTTTATGAATTTTGTTTTGTTTTATTTCTTTCCTCCTTCTTCAATTTTTTTATAGGAGGGGAGACTGTAAACCCCTCCTCTGGCTGGGTTCACAAAGCCTTCACTCACATGTCACACCCCCTCCTTAGTCTTCATTTTCCTTTTCACATTCCTGGCTCTGCAGAGAATTGTCCTCCCATCTCTCTGAGCCAGGTAAGCTCTATTTCCCTTTTCTTCTTGTTCTCTTTCTTCCTCTAGATTGTACTGAGAGAATTGTCCTCCCATCTCTCTGAGCCAGCCTTGAAATCCAAAGCCCCCCCCAGTTTGGTCCTAGAACATCCTTCTTTGTGCCCGCGCCTCCGCTGATCCACCTTCAGCTCCAGTGAAGGGACTCAACCCTTACATATCCGAGGACAGCCCAGCCTCACAACCAAGCAGAAGGCTTGCATCGCCGGTATATTTGCAAGGGTTGTGGGCTCCGGACAAACAACGATCTCTTTGATCGTTTCACAAGCTCAGACTTGTGGCACCGTCAAAGCTGCTGAGAAGAGCGACTGACCTTGATTGAATAGCAAGCAAGACTTGATGCAGCTTCAACAGAAGCCACCCCAAGTCAACCCTAGCAGAGGTGACAAATATTGATTTTTTGGTTTTTATTTTTATTTTTTTATTTCATAATCATTATATTCCCTCATCTCTCAGCTACCCTCCTCACTTGATTTTGTATTTTTAAAAAAAATATTAAAGAAAATAAAAAAGGTGAATGATGCTTTTATTTTTTTAAAATTTAATGCATTTTGTATTTTGTTTTTTTTGTTTCAGATTCCTTTTTATCATCCCCCTATCCACCACTCCACAAAAACTCAGAATTTCATGTGTGATAATTTTTTTTTAAATAAAGTAATTGATGTGTCGTAAACAACTGGGAGAATACTGTACAGTGGGTGGACTGTTATTTTTGGCTGCTTGTTTTGGGTTCTACAGCTTCAAAGCACAAACTCCAAGTCACAAGAATTGGTGAAGTGGTGCAGAATAGGTCCCAAAAAATGAATATGAAAAAATCAAAACAAAAAATAAAGTTTCAAAATTTGTGAAAAATAATAAATAATTTTTTTTTTCCAAAAGCTTTATTATTGATTTTGGGGGAGTGGGAGTGCTGAGAGAAAGATGGCAAGAATGATTATCAATTAAAAAAATTGGAACCAAAAAAGGGTGAGCCAGGTTGGCTGTCCAGATTGGATTCAAAAAAGTAAATTCTAGTGCTTTACTACAACATGAGCTGATGAATGCCCTACTCAACAGCTGTTTAAAACCAACTGGTAACCATTTTTTTAGAATTTTCATTTATAATCATTCTTCCCATTTTCCATTCTTTTTTTCTTCTAGCACTCCCACTCCCCCAAAATGAATATCAAAGCTTTTGGAAAAAACCCATTTTTATTTTTTATTTTTCACAGATTTTGAAACTTTGTTTTTTGTTTTTATTTATTCATATTCATTCTTTTGGACCTATTCTGCACCACTTCACCAATTCTTGTGACTTCAAGTTTGTGCTTTGAAGCTCTGGAGTCCAAAAAAGCCAGCCAAGTGTGGCGCACCCATCCACTGTATTTCTTTTCACAACACAGAATGACACTATTCTCTATATCATTGTTAAATCGTTGAAGTTCAGTCAGGGGGAGATCTGAAGATGTGGGGGAATAAGATTATGAAGTTAAGCTAGGGTCATGAACATCCTTGTCAGCCACAGAGTACCTTTCACATTGCGTGAAATGTACCTAGTAACTGCAAATCATAATAACTAATTGAATACAGGAAACTATTATTCATTGTTGTTAAAATAATAAATAAAGAAATATGTATTTACATTTAATCTTAATTCATAATTTATATATTTAATAATTCTATAATTAACTGTGAAATTGTTGGGTTTCACAGTTTTTCTACTGGTTCATTTTCTCTGTTTTCTGCTTCCACCTGTCTTTCATGTTTTTCTCAGCATGTCACAGACATGTGACACTTCCTGTTGTAGTCACTCTAGGTCAGCTGGCAGTTTGTGGAAGTTCTCCTTTCCTCATCCTTCCACGAACTGTCTGCCTGGCCTAGGTGAGTCTAGTTTTTCTCTTTTCTCTTTCTCCTTCTTTTTCTCTTACTGTCATGCAATGAAGCTAATCCTTCCAAAAACTGTCTGCCTGGCCTAGCTTCACTGCAACAGGTTATGAGCCCAGATAGTGTGTGACTCAAATCTCACTTAAGGATCCATAAGCTTCTCGTCAAAGCCCTTCCAATTTTTTTTTTGCTGAAATGTCTTCCACAGACAGCAAACAAACAAACACATCAACCGGACCTGCTACCGGTTCCTCTCCCTCCAACACCAAACCACCATCAACACCGAGCGGAAGCTTACTCATCACTAGCAACATCACAGCCCACCCTACTCTTAAACTAACTGGGGTCAAACAGGGGAAACCCCCCGGCCCAGACTCCAACTATCTCGATTGAAGCTGGGTTCTCAACATTCATTTCCAAGCGACGGGCATTGCCTACATCCTGCACCCCAACAAGAACAAGGCCAGGAAAGCGGCTGCTCTCTGTCCAAACTGGCAACAAGACAACATGACCATCGTCGGTGCCATCTCACGCACCATACACCCGGCCAATATCTGTTACGCCCGAGCCTTCAATCGCAATGCGCGCGGTCTGTGGGCGGCCCTGAAACAAGCACACCAGGACTCCTCTTCCGGGGGAGTCATGTACTGGCTCCGCAAGCTTAATAGCTTTTTTATGGCAGGGGAAGATATCAAGTCCCACCTTGATGACATGGCAAGGGTCTTTGAACAGCTCAACTCACTACTCGGCCCAGGGTCTCCACTCACCCCCGAGGATATTTTCTCGGCAAACATACTTTTCTCCTCACCTCCTGACTGGCTGGCCTGCATTTCCTCAATGATGAACAAGGCTTGGGTCAGTCCAGCTCAAATCATGATGGCCCTCTGCCAAGAAGGGTTGCACCGCAAGGCTTGCTCCAAAGATCTACCAGCCTTGGAGTCCCTCTCCATCACAAAAACTGGGCCACCGGCAAGGCCTTCCTCATTTCATGCCAGACCGGCATTTGATTGCTCGCTGTTCTGCTCATTCTGTAAACGAGAAGGTCACAATCTCGACATCTGCGAAAACGCAGCTCGAATTCTCAGCGACCACAATCGTCAAAACCTCGATCATCAAGGAGAGGGACGTGGTCGCTCAAACAACTCCAAATCGGACCGGCCTCGCCACAAGCCCCAAGCCAAAGCTGGTCAGACAACCGTGGTTGAGCTAGGCGGCCCCAACACAGACGACAACTCCGACTACTCAGGGTCAGAGATTGACGACCGTCACCCGCAAGCAAGAGCAGGCAATGCTGTTGCCGTCGACACCTCTGTCACCCACTCGTGCTCTAAGGCGAACCGAGATGCAAACATTGATTTGGGCTGTTCAATATCAATGACACCCTATCAAGCTGATGTCACCAATCCAAATCGTGACGATACTTCAATCCGTCTAGCCAATCATTCCCTTGTCAAAGCCACCCTCAAAGGTACAGCTTCCCTCCCTTCAACTCCAACACCAACATTCCGATGCTGGTAGTTCCAAACCTTCATGAACCACTGCTGTCAGTAGCCAGCCTCTGCGACACAAATCTCACCGTTGTATTCCAATTGTCATCCTGTGACATCTTCAACTCAGATGAAGTCACCATCTCCGGCAAGCCTGTTGGCACTGGCTACAGGAAAGGAAACCTCTTCTATCTGCCCACAAGCGAGGTAAAATCCAGCGCTTCAGCCTCAGTGGCTAGGACTAAAGCTGACCCCACACTTCTCGACTACCACATTTGCTTTTGTCATGTAGGCCTCAAGCCTCTGAAACAGCTCCTCAGGAGAATTGTGGTCCGACCCTCACTGATGAATGAGCAAGCTTTCCTACGCTGCACTGTGTGTATTAAGTCAAAAATGAACCGCCTACCATTTCACTCTTGCTCTCCGTACCGGGCCACATCCCCTGGCGAGCTGATCCACTCCGATGTTGGTTCCTAATTTGAAGTTATCTCTAGAGAAGGCTTTAAATACTTTATCACTTTTGTCAATGATTTCTCCAAACATGTTTCTGTCTTTCCAATGAAATTGAAATCTCAATCTTTCTCCTGCTTCAAATCATTCCGTGCCTTCTTTGAAAAAGACAGCAAACTCACCACTCAAGACTACCCCGCAGCCACTCATCGTAGAGATCCCCTGGCCTATCAACCATCAATCATGTTTGCCAGGAATGGCTCCACCTCTTCCAACTGCAGACCCTGTTCCTCCCCCCCTTCCTCCTCCCTCCCCTCCTCTTCCCTCCCCCGACCTCCCACTCCTGAACATACAATTGGAGCCACGTTTTGACCGACGCCTCTCAGCCTCAATTCATGCTCCAAAAATAACTGCCCCTTCTACACAGTCCCTTACTCCGGAAGTTCCCTCAATCTCTCCGTTACCCGCGCCCAAAATCCCAACTCAGCCTGAAAGGAAATCTTCAAGGACAAAGCGTGCACCGGACCGCCTGGGAAATTGGCCCAAATCTGCGGTTCAAAAGGATGTTGACGACACACCAAAGACATGGCAGCAACTTCTGAAATCACCAAACAAGAACAACTGGCTCAAAGCTGCCAATGAAGAATTCTCGTCTCTCCTTGGGATGGCCACCTGGAAACCGGTTCCTCTCCCCCAAAAACGCAAGATCATCAAGTCCAAGTGGGTTTTCAAGATCAAGCGCCGAGCCAACAGGACTATTCAGAAGCTGAAGGCCCGCCAGGTCGCAATGGGTTACACTCAGTTCAAGGGAGTAGACTATGACAAAGTATTCTCTCCTACCCTCCGCCTCGAAACCCTTTGACTCATTCTCTCCCTCCTGGCCACAAATTGCTGGAAAGGCCGCCAAGTGGACT